AATGATACAACCTCGAAGTGCTTGGAATCAGTGAAACGCATTGAACACAAGTAGAACGACTGAGACTTGCTTCAGGGGAACTGCTGTTATACTCTGGTCATGAAGAGGAAAATGCTTCACATACACAAGGAGTTCCACTGATGCTGTCCAAACATGCATAAAAGGCACTGATAGGATGGGAATCTCATGGACCGAGGATCATTAAAGCATCCTTCAAAACAAAGAAAGAGGACATTACAATGAACGTCATCCAATGTTTCGCACCTACCAATGACTACAATGACGACCTTAAAGATCAATTCTACGAAAGGCTGCAGTCAATGGTCGAGAAATGTTCACCAAAGGATTTGACGACTCTTATGGGAGACCTGAATGCCAAGGTTGGAATGGACAACACTGGATATGAAGACATCATGGGACGACATGGACTGGGAGAAAGAAACGAAAATGGTGAGAGATTTGCAAACCTATGTGCCTTCAACAAACTGGTCATCGGTGGCACAATATTCCCGCACAAACGCATACACAAAGCTACATGAATTTCACCGGATCACACTACTCAAAACCAGATTGATCATATCTGTATCAACAAAACGTTCAGAAGGACGATGTAGGATGTGAGAACCAGGAGAGGAGCTGATATAGCCTCAGATCACCATTTGCTAATCGCCAAAATGAAACTGAAACTAAAGAAGCACTGGACAACGGGGCAGACAACATCACAGAAGTTTAATACGGCCTTTCTTCGAGATACTGTAAAGCTCAACGAATTCAGGATAGCCCTCACCAATAGGTTCCAGGCCTTTCAGGATCTACTCAATGGAGAGTAAGCAACATTGGAGTACAATTGGAAAGGGATTAAGGAGGCAATCACTTCAACATGTCAGGAGGTCCTTGGTCGCAAGAAGCACCATCACAAGGAATGGATCTCTGTTGGTACTCTTGAAAAAATTGAAGAGAGGAGGAACAAGAAGGCAGCAATCAATGTCAGCCGAACAAGAGCAGAGAAAGTTACCGCACAAGCTGCATACACAGAAGCAAACAGGGAAGTGAAGAAGAGCATCAGAGCTGACAAACGAAAATATGTGGAAGATCTAGCAATGACGGCGGAAAAGGCTGCAAGAGAAGGAAACTTGAGACAATTTTACCAAACAACAAAGAAGCTAGCCGGGAACTATCGTAAACCAGAACGACCAGTGAAAAGCAAGGAAGGCAAAGTAATCAGCAACACTGAACAACAGCGAAATAGGTGGGTAGAGCACTTTAAGGAACTATTGAATCGACCAGCTCCACTGAACACACCCAACATCGAAGCAGCATCCACGGACCTCCCAATTAATATTGGCGCACCTACGATTGAGGAGATCAGTATGGCAATCAGACAAATCAAGAGCGGCAAAGCAGCAGGACCAGACAACATTCCAGCAGAGGCAATGAAAGCAGATGTAGAAGCAACCGCGAAAATATTTCACATTCTCATCAAGAAGATTTGGGATGAGGAACAAGTACCATCAGATTGGAAAGAAGGATACCTCATCAAAATACCAAAGAAAGGCGATCTCAGCAAGTGTGAGAACTACAGAGGCATCACTCTTCTTTCAATACCAGGCAAAGTCTTCAACATGGTATTGTAAAACAGAATGAAGGACTTCGTAGACGCCCAACTTTGAAATCAACTGGCCGGATTTCGTAAGGATCGATCGTGTACTGACGAAATTGTTACATTACGGATCATTGTGGAACAATCAATTGAATGGAACTCACCACTCTACATCAACTTCATCGACTACGAGAAAGCATTCGATAGCGTGGACAGGAAAACACTGTGGAGGATTCTTCGACACTACGGTGTGCCTGAAAAAATAGTTAGCATCATACGGAATTCTTATGATGGATTCAACCGCAAAATCGTACACGGAGGACAGCTGACAAACTCGTTTGAGGTGAAGACCGGTGTCATGCAAGGTTGCTTACTCTCACCCTTTCTCTTTCTCCTGGTCATCGACTGGATTATGAAGACGTCGACGTCTGGAGGGAAGCACGATATCAACTGGACAGTTAGGACGCAGCTGGACGATCTGGACTTCGCAGATGACATGGCTCTTCTATCGCACACTCAACAACAAATGCAAGAGAAGACGACCAGTGTAGCAGCAGCCTCTGCATCAACAGGTCTCAACATACATAAAGGAAAGAGCGAAATTCTCCGATGCAACACAACATGCACTAACCAAATCACTCTTGATGAAGATGCTTTGAAGGACGTTAACACGTTTACATATCTGGGCAGCATCGTCGACAACCAAGGTGGATCCGATGCAGATGTGAGGGCACGGATTGGCAAAGCAAGGGCTGCATTTCTACAGTTGAAAAATATCTGGAACTCCAAACAACTTTCAATCAAAACCAAAATCAAGATTTTCAATAAAAATGTGAAGACAGTTCTACTGTATGGAGCGGAAACATGGAGAACTACCAAAGCCATCATTCAGAAGACACAAGTGTTTATTAACCGTTGTCTACGCAAAATACTTCGTATCCGTTGGCCAGACACCATCAGCAACAACGATTTGTGGGAGAGAACAAACCAGATTCCAGTGGAAGAGGAAATCAGGAAGAAGCGGTGGAAGTGGATAGGACACATACTAAGAAGAGCACCTAACTGTGTCACGAGACACGCCCTCACATGGAACCCTCAAGGCAAAAGGAAAAGAGGAAGGCCAAAGAATACATTACGCCGGGAAATAGAGAAAGATATGAGAGGAATGAACAAACATTGGACAGAACTGGAGAGAGAAGCCCAGGACAGTGTTGGTTGGAGAAAACTGGTGGGCGGCCTATGCTCCATTGGGGGTAACAGGCGTAAGTAAGAAAGTGTTACCTCCGGACACACTGGGGGGGGGCTATGTGGAGTTGGCATGACAAACTTATTTTGTAAATAGTTTTTGATACTATTTGTATTTATTCTGGTAATTTTCATAGCCTGTACATTCACTATGAAATTGTTGTACATTTTGTTTAAGTGTGTGTCCTTGAATATATCAGGCGCTTTAACTGCTCCACGTTTCCGTTCTGTGTACACATAGCACGGCACTCACTGCCTGATCCTATCAAATACACTTTATACGCACGTCTCATGTTCTCAATTGTTCATTAATGTGATAACTGGATTCTAATACGTATATTGTCTACATTTATAGACTGCAGTTATACGTATATGCTACTCTACGGATAGTTACTCCACTTGGATTACTAACATTTCTATAATTGTGGATTTTTATAGTACCAAACACAACTGAACACGTACAAGCAGCCGTATAAAGTAACGTCCTTACATATTTATTGTATTTATTATATTTAACTGATATATTTTGCTATACATCTGTTTGTATTCAATAACTTTGTTAATATTTTGAAATAATATATCGTTTGTTCCAACACAGTTACAGCTTACCTCGAATGTATCTTAATTATTGCAAAGACATTAGAACAGCTACGGGAACGCACGATATCCGAACTACAACACATCAGTGACTACGGTTCGTTACGCCAAGAGAAATGACAGATGCTATTGCAGTCAGTAAAGTGTTTGAGGAGATGCCTTGGAGGACATTGACACCTTTACATATCTATGCAGCATCATCAACAAAGGTGGATCGGATGCAGATGTGAGGGCACGGATTGGCAAAGCAAGGGCTGCATTTCTACAATTGAAAAATATCTGGAACTCCAAACATTTTTGAAACGAAACCAAAATCAGGATTTTCAATACAAATGTCAAGACGGTTCTACTGTATGGAGCGGAAACATGGAGAACTACGAAAGACATCATCCAGAAGATACAAGTGTTTATTAACAGCTGTCTACGCAAAATACTTTGGATTCGTTGGCCAGACACGATCAGGAACAACGATTTGTGGGAGAGAACAAATCAGATTCCAGTGGAGGACGAAATCAGGAAGAAGCGGTGGAAGTGGATAGGACACATACTAAGAAGAGCACCTAACTGTGTCACGAGACACGCCCTCACATGGAACCCTCAAGGCAAAAGGAAAAGAGGAAGGCCAAAGAATACATTACGCCGGGAAATAGAGAAAGATATGAGAGGAATGAACAAAAATTGGACAGAACTGGAGAGAGAAGCTGTTGGGCGCCCTATGCTCCATTGGGGGTAACAGGCGTAAGTAAGTAAGTAAGTAAGTGAAGCGATCCAAAAGCGAGCTGATAAATTGGCATCTATTTTAACCTAAACAAACATTATTTACAGTAGACATAAAACAGCATTCTTAATGGATTTTCAAAGAATTTTAGCAGTAAGTAATGAGACAATAAAAGTTAGGGAGATCGAAATATACTAAAACTTAGAATACCAGTACGTATAGTTCCGATTAACAAAATTTGAGACCGTAATTAGGGAAATAAAACATGCGAAAGTCTATTTAGAACGACTAGAAATTTAGGAGGAATTGAGTTATCTTTATTGTACAAAGCGTTTCTGTCGGAGTAACTAAATCAGACGAATTTTTACGCATGATACCAATGGTGAATAAAATGCATAAATCACCTGAAATAAGTTTGTACCTACAATGTACATTGTGAATACTTCAATGGATTTGCACCAACATATTACACTTGGAATTGGGTTACACTAAAAATAAAACCATCAACATCCGTCGCATCACGATTAATAAATAGGCAATTAGTAGTATTTTGGAATAGGTTATAACATCACCAAATGATGTAGCGTAAACATTTACTACCCTGTGTCTTCACACTAATTACCCGAAGGTCCCATTAAAAATGAGATCAATCCTTTACTAAACAGCACTATGAAATACTAGAAATTTAGGAATGTCTACTACTTTCACAGTCACAAACTAATATAAAGTTAACGTCTACACAATAAACTCATTCTTTGTTGATTAGACAGGTATCTAACTAATATCGAAAGTAGTATCACTTAGCACAAGCTCAGCGAGCTTAGTTTATCCATTCTGAGACACGCACATAAAGTAAAAGAGGTTTTTAACTCACTAACTCGGTACTTAAGCACTAGTCATACTTTAGGCTTGAACGGTGATTGCCCAAACTGAGATCTAGTCAGCCAGGTTCGAACCTGTAATCCTGACCGAAAGTCGAATGTGTTGACCACTAACCAATCAAAATATTGTTATATATCGACGAATTAGTTAGAGTCGTAGTCACGAATCAAAATTCGATATGAGCTATGGGTAAAAGTAACACTCCTAAATTATGAAGTATAATAAGAATAAAACACAAATACGTCCATAAAATAATGTGATCGAAAAATCCGAGCAAAAGCATTTTTATGCCACACCAAAGTAATAAACAGAACGTAGCACACTAACAACACAAGCAAACATACCTTTCCACGTAAATTATATTGAGTTAAATGTTTAACCAAATCGGGTACGTAATTGACATCAACTTCAACCAGGTAATCAGATCGGTTAGCCGATAAACGGTTAGTGTGATAGATAAATGCATCAGTTAGCACTCTACCCTAGAATAGATGATAAAAATCTTATATCTGACAGGGGATGAAATTCAGTGAGACATACCTTCGAATTGAGGAATAGTGAGTACATGAAGGAATTAGGTCGACTTATAGATTTGATATCAGTAGTTATGAGACCTTGCAGAAATTCGTCAGCTGATGTACCATGAACGCATACCAGACTTCTTTCTTTTAACTGGCTTATACTCAGCAAACGTTTAGAAAGAAAATTAAAACAACCCGCACGAAGATAGTTTCCGAAAATGATCATGCGATAGGAATAAAATCAAAAAGCCAACCTAAAATAAACACAAATATGAACTAAATTAGCATCCCATACAGAAATGAAAATGCTGGCTTGTTTTTAGATGGTTAGTATGTTATCTATCCATGAAACAAACAGTCAGTCAGTTGCAACGTAGAACTTCGTATGTATATATATAAGTTTAGGTTACCATACGACATTAGCACAGAGACGCAAATGTCCAATCAAATCCCATAGTGATAGAGATAGTAGAGGCAATAATGTTAATGAAGAAGACTAGGGTTTGAAGATATTATTCAACAAGTATAATTCAGTGAGATAAGGTTAGAAAGACAAAGGTAGAGGTGCTGACGAATACAGAAGATTAGAATTTGAGAGAGCACAATAAATGGATGCACTTCCGCCATTGAAAACGATTTTGAGCCATGTCGTTCAAGGTCTCTAACCATTGATGACCATCGTCTCGCGGAACCTAACCAGGTCGCCTATATCTACCAACATGACTCAGTCCACTTGTCAGTGACTTCATGGATTTCTGCTACGTTTTGGTCTGATCGCCCTTAACTTTCTTCCAACCTGCTCCTACACAAAAGATAGCTCGTCGCGGCAGTCGGTGGTTGGCCATACGTAACACATATCTCAACCACCTCAACTGATGAAGTTTCAACACTTCATCTATTAATCTGCCATTTTAACCTAGTAATCGTTTCCTAACGACAGCATTGCTTACTCGGTTGTCCCACGATATACGAGCAATGCTTCTTAAACGTTTATGATCGACCATGATTTGCATCCATATAGGAGAATGGAGCGAACTTCTGAGCAGTACATTCGTTGTAGATGAATTTTCTACCGTAGCAGTTCAATTAGTTTCCAGGAGGTGTAGGTCGAACGCTCCGTCCCCTAGTCCAATATCAGAACACAATAATTCTAGAAGAAAGCACACATCATTTAATATAAAATGCAAATACAAACAAATGCCTGAGTTTCAATACAAATTCCAAGTCCCAATTACCCTGATGGGTATCCAGTTCCAAAAGAATAAGTGATACTAGATCAAACCGCAACGGTATCAAATCAAAATATGGCTGTAGCCATATTAAAGATCAAATTTAAACAACATATATACAGTTCAGAAGCAAACATAAAAACTTCAATATAAGTGCAAAATACAGAAATAATAACAATATACAATGATAAAATCTCAAATTGGAATCAAATAAAATACCAAAAATGTCAACAGAAAAAGTCCGTCATGTCATAACAAAAATATGTAAACATGGAGGGATTTTCCAAAAAACAAAACATTCAAAAAGGATTCTACACCGGCCCGCAGAATCACTCCATGCAAAACAAGCCCTT